TATCTCTCCCCACAGCCCTACATTCCCCCCCCCCCCCCAAAGCCAGCGAGCGTGTGTGTATGTGGGTGTGTGCGCAAATCCAGCGGCTACCACCAGTAAAGGTGACATTCATGAGAGAACAAGTGAGGGAGGGAGAGCGAGTGCAAACGAGTGAGGGAAAGAGAGCGAGTGAGTGTAAAAGAGTGTGGGAGAAGAACAAGAATGATGAATGAGAACAATGGCGAAGAGAAAACAGAAAGATGAAGGGAGAGAAAAAGAGGAGGGTGAGAGAGAGTTAACGCTACTGTTCTTCCTTCACTCTGCCGTGTCTGTCCTTGATGGGGTAGAGTGGAGGAGAGAGAGAGCGAGAGAGCGCTTTAGGTGCCAATGGTGACAGTTTTCAGTCACCTCAGGAAGAACATCGCAGTCGTGCGTTCCGAGTCAGTTATCACTGCCAAATTCACACACTCGCACACACAGTTATCCCCCTCACCCATCTCTCTCTTTCTCTGATACACACATCTTCGTGTACACAATCACTTTTAGGGGATTAGGATTGTACCACTTTTATTGGTTTAGCGTTCAGTTTCTTGCAGTCCGTATGCTGGGAGTGTTTGCCGTTTGCTGAAGGTGTAAAACTAACACAAACAGAAAGACTTTCTCTGTCTTATATATCTCTTATCCTGTTTTTTCTTCATTTACTTTATTGCTCTTCATCTCAAAGCTCTTTTCCCCTCCGTTAGTGCCCCCCCCTCTCATTCTTCTTTCTGACATCACTGCAGTTTCGCTTTATCTCGGTGTATTTTCCAGTCTCTTGGCACTCTGCAAATACAGCATGTGAAATGAGTGGGACCTGAGGGGCGGTTTGCTTAAAGAGACAGACAGGCACTGAGAGTGTGTGTCAGGATGGGTGGCTGTCTCTCATTAATAGTGACACAGACAGGTAGAGACAAAAATCATCTCTGTTCTACTGTGCCCTCATCCACAAACAAATATACTATGTTGCCTATTAGGGGTGGGCGATATACTGGTAGACACAAATTTGTCAACTGGTAGAGATTTTGGATTATCGTCTCTATCACGGTTACACACCCACGTGACGCTGCTGTGCTACACGGTCACGAAAACGTATCGTTTGCATGTGTTTTTAAGCATTGCGGTTTTAAAAACAAGTGATTTCAGGCTGTTGAAACGCAATAAACAGCGAAAGAGAACTCATTTTGCTATATGCGCACAATGTCTGAGAGACTTTCTGAGCACTGTTAGAGAGGTGTGTGCATGTAAAGATGGTGCTCAAAGAGCGTGAGAGTATTGAGTTATTTTTGCCACTTTATAGGCTTTGAACGGTTAAATACACACAATTGAATGTGTCAAAAAATGCCCATCTTTGCAAGTATCCTCGTAAACACAATAATTTAGGTATTAAGTGAAAGCAAACAGCTGAGAAAGAAAACACATGTAACAGTATATGGAATCCAGGCAGCTCTTAAAGTGACAGCAGTCTAATATTCCTGCTGTCTGTCGTTCAAGTTAATCATTCATGTTAATTAGTTTCTTATTCTTTTTTGTGTGATATTGAGAATTATGAAGTTTCTATGGTATAAAAAATTTTGATATCATAAAGACCTTATTTAAAGCAAAAATAACTATATTGTGTTATATTATTACTGTGAAATAAAATTACTCATATTGTGATATAAGATTTTGGTCATATCGCCCACCCCTAATGCCTATATACACATTCAAGTAGTACAAATTCATAAAACAGTTTCACCACTTTACTATGTGGTATTTTAGCAACCTCTCTTATTCATTAACCATTTATAATTAGTCCAACCAGGTGTAAAGTATTTTACATAAAAGTCTGTCTTTTTTCAGTGTCCTGTCTTTTTTCTGACTTTTATTTTGGAGATGTTTGTTTAAATGTTCTGTTGAAAATGGCAGCATCAAATGATAAAAAAGAATGATAACCGTGCATATACTGTATACAAATGTGCAATCAAGCACACTGTAATAGTTTGATGTTTTAAAGAGCTTATTCAGGTGTATGGTTCGCATTGATGGAGTGATGTGGTACAGTCCTTGCAAGTATGTCAGATTGTAGTAGTTTGCTGCATCCTCTGATGGTGGAGATGGGCAATTGCACTGTCATTATTCATGCGTGCATGTGTACATGTACGGTAGTGTTTTGGAGTAGGATCAGCATTGTTGGTCCTAGATTGACCATTTTGGGTTAGGATGTAACCACATGTTCAAGATTGTGAGGACCACATGTGGAAGTTTAAGAATCTGCATTTGAAACCCCCATTATATTAATCTAGCAACACATCTGTTTTCAGTCATACCTGGTAGGCACTTATACTCTCCCAAAAATAAGTTTGCTCACACAAACATGCAAACGTATCAATATGAACTCTCTAGAGATGTTTCCTGAGGGACAACCCCTGACCATGATCTTGGAGTCAAATTGCTTTGTGATTAGCATTGATTGTATGGATATGCAGTGCTAAGAAGTTTAAAATGTGCCTGGTGTAATTGAATCTGTCTTGGCTGTTTACCTTGAAGCAATAGCAAGATGCTTCCACAACATAAAAATGTGCAGCTCCTTAGCGCAGCCTCAATAAAATAAAGTATTCAAGAGGCCAGTCAATCAATCAAATTTTATTTGGCATCCTCACCGAAATCTGCTGTGGAAGCACCTAGAAAGCACCAGCTTGATTTACCTTTGGTTTAGAAATGACGTTGCCTCAACAGACAAGGTCACAATCAGTCAACTGCTGATTGTCAGATGACAACCAAAGTTCCTGGCCCTTAAGAAGAGGGCATAAAATGGTGATAATTTAATTAATGTTTTTCAAAAAAAAAAAGCCTTGTAACCACATCTCCTGCTCATAAGCTCTCTAAAGGAGGCAGTGCAATCTTAGAAAGAGAGCACAGAGGAAACATCAACAATTTTAAATTCCTGCTTTCACCAAGTATTGGCCTCATGCCAGTTGCCAATTTGATTTCTCAGTAGATACACAAGGATAGCAGCCAAGTCAGATCATTTTACTTAAAAGTTCATGTTTTATGGAACTAAAGAGTTGTATTCATCTGTGGTACATAGATCATTCACAGGACATTTATTTTCCCATGACTTATAACAGGACACTGAATAAATGCTTGAGAAAGCAGTACCTTGTAAAGTATGTGATTATTTGATTGCACATTTTCGTTTAGAGGACCATTTTGTTAGAAATTAGAATACATTGTACTGTCGGAAAGATGTTTTGGGGGGTTTCTTGTTTTGTTTTTTTAGCTCCTGTTCCTATTCACTTTTATTGTAGGACAAGCCAGAATATTCGTCCCCTTTTTGTGTGTTTTTTTGGTTAGTTTATTCCCATCCTAGCTGTCCTAGTACAGTGAATCTTTTTAGGTTTATTTTGTAGATTTAGGAGTAGTTTCTATCGTGGCAGAGCGTGTGTTTAACCTTCTCCTGCTTTCCCAAGCAATTACTTTCCACAAAGGTCTCCCTGACCTCCCTGACAAACACGGACAACCCTCCTCTCCTGTTTCCCCATGTGTCTGCTTGGCTCAGCCCGACCTAGCTGGCCCAGTTCTGTCTTTATGTCTCTCCTAGTACCTTATCTCTCCTTC